TGAAATAAGGTCTTTGGTTGCCCACACCTCCAAGTACCTCAAGACCCACTTCATTTTATATCTGTACTACTCATAAGTTTTGGAGAAGATTCTGCTTTGTGTGTATTATCTGCTAGTTGTAGAATTAACATTTCCTTGCTATTTACCAGTTTAGTTCTATAATCTTCATAATATTAACAAATGTGAAGATTTCTATGATATTCATTTTTTTTAATAATCTATCTTGTCTTTTTGTACCTCTCTTCCAACTTTCCTTTTCAATCATTTCATGAGTTCCTGGTTTGTACCAGGAAGAAAATCAGGGCCCCAAGTTAACAATTAGAATATCGCACTAGCTGCCTTCAAGGAGCTCTGTGGTCACGGATATAGAAAATGGAAAAAATAGAGGGAAACCCCACAAACATTGTTAACTGGGTATACAGCATAATATCCAGTCAGGAAGGAGAGCAAACTGTCTACGCATGTGAAGCGTTACCACAAAACTGTCAATTCCTTAACTGAGTATCTATACATGGGGCAGGTAGAGGGTGCTAGAAGACCACAAGGGCTAGGAAACCCAACATAGGAAAAGACTGCTGTTGAAGGGGACTGAGGTTCACTGATCAGTGAAACAGCACGTCAGTGGGTGTTATAAAAGGGAATGGTTTTAAAGGTGTATTTCTATTCAAAATGCCATGTCCAGAATAATACATTTGTGATATTGGAAGTGTTTTCATCAAATGAACTTTGGAAAATCATTTAAACATTTTAAATCTCTCTGGAATTCTTGTAGCCCTTAAAATATAAATATATCTTGCACATATTGTAAGAGTGAAAAATGAAGAATATGCATGAAGAAGTGGGGTTACTAATAACCCCATACTAAAGGAGACGTATCACTGTTACCAATTTGGCTTAATTCCTTCTGGATTAATTTTATGTTAGATTTTTCCCCCCATGTAAGTCTCCTTTTCCTTGAATCGGCACCCAGATGTCTCACTGAGTTCATTTCTACATTTTTTAAATGTATTTGAGTAAAAATAAACTGTTATAAAATAAAAAAATGTATTTGAGTTTCTATTATATGCAAAATCAAGTGCTGAATACTGATAATATAAATCACATACATTCTTCCCTTTAAGAAGTTCCTTGTTAACAGTCACTGACATGTGTCTTACTTTATAAAAATTCAATGTTACTGCTCTTTAGCCACATGTTTTGCTTACTTATTAGTAATGGTCAGAGTCATTCTGTTAGCCATTAGCCTGTTTACCTACTTGGCAACATAGTACTTTTATCAATGAATGCAATCATTATAAGGCTGTATCATCATGTCTTTTGTTACTGTACCATGAATTTATTAACATATCTGTCAGTTTTTTTTTAACTTACAACTATTTTATGAATTATATTAATTTAGGAAGCCAAGTAAATTCCATCTCCAATATATTGCTCCATACAAGTGCATTTGACAAAAATGACAGTTTAACAAAAAAAAAAATAACTAAAATCTGGCAGGGGTTTTCAATTTTTTTTTTTTAATTTCAGAGAGTATTTTTATGTACATTCTCAGTGAGATTTATTGCTTTCCTAGTGATGTAACAAAATTATATTCATGAAGATGAAACTTCTGATAAGGTAACAAGGAAGCTAAAAGTTTTAGACTGGTAACAGGAAGATCACTTAGGATACTGTCACAAGAGAAAAATGGTGACCCCTTCTGAAAAATATACCTAGAATTATGAAAAGAAACAGCCAAATATGAAAGGTACTTTTTGCTATAAAATCCAAAGGAAGTCATTGCAAGTAGCGAACAAAAGGAGATAAGAAAATATTATAATTACTAATTTAGCAGATGAAATGTGTTGACAATTATCCACCATGTCAAGAAATAAATGGCACTTATATTTGGAGATTTAAAAAACTTGTAGGATACAAGAAGGCTGCAATTGTAGACTGGAAGAGCCTTAGGATAAAGTTAAAATTTGTTTTATCAACATATAAAACAAGGAAAATTTCATAAAAGCAAATGAGTTCACTTAACAGAAGAATTTGGAGTAATAGTTACCAGAGCAGAATATAGAATTCTAGGCTATGAAAAATTAGTGCAGGTAGAGCCAAGAGAACCTTATGAAACTTTAGGGAGTTACGAGGTCTGACTGGCCAAGAGAATTGGAAAGAAAAAATTAGTGCTGATTACAACTTTAAAATGTCTTATGAAAAAAGTGGAAATAAATTATATTTTATATTGTTTTGCTATTTAACAAAAACTGTGCTAATTTATGATAAGTGTTTTTTATATTGTTTAGATTAAAACCAAAGTCTGCATTTCCTTAATTTTGATTTGGTAATGAGGAAAGTTTATATATATGAATCAATCACATAAACTTACAAAGGGAATTTTTGAAATATTGAGCATGATAAACATAAGAAATATAGTCAAGGCTTTTTCTTTATTAGAGCAACCTAATAAAGTTCTCTGAATATTCATCTTATTAAACATAGAAATGAGAAATTTCATTCAACACCATTCTTTAACATTTAACTATTTGTTCCTACAATCAGCACATCAGTCATTATTGAAACTCATACAGTGCAAACTTGTCAAAATACAGAAATTAATACTCATAGTGGTTAAATTTAGCCAAGACTATGTCTTGATTTTGGAAGAGATGAGTACATAAAATTTCAAATAATAGCTCTCTAATAAATAGTTGTTAAGCTATAATATCTTTTCATTTATTTCATGCAGATTTATCAAAACTTAGATATTTATTTGGATTGCATATCATAAGGAATTTTGACATATATTGGGAATATTCTAATGTATACTAATATAGATATTTAAAGTAAATGTGGAGACATATGATAGACAATGTAATTTGCAAAATGTTTCATTTACCCCTTGACACTTTAATATTGTTCCTAAGATAGTGACCAAGAGATGGGCTGGGTGGATTAATGCATGATTAAGAAGAGAGGAGTCTAGTATTAATCAAATTATCCATCACTTCAGCATTATTTATAGTTGCCTGCTTCGTGATCATATTTCCACATTGACCACCTTCTCTAAGTTGGTCTCAATTTGAATTTTTTTCAAATTGCTTGTCAATATACATCTGAACAGATGTGATCCTATACTTAAAATCTTAAACAGTATTGAAAAGCTATGTTACCTCAATACAAAATAAAGTAGTTATTCTGTCTTATTCTCCATGTTCTTATTTGTTAAATTTTAGATGCACTTATTTTATCTATAGGATAGTTATGGTAATTAAATGAAAGTATAAAATTCTTAACTCTAGCTGGCCTTCAGTAAGGACAAAGTTAGTGTTAAATGCTGAGATAATTTGTACCTTTTCTCATAGAAGGTGAATAAGTATCATAAGGTCATTCTAATCCTACTGATACAGGATGCTGTTTAGAATAATATCATTATTCCCTGTGGCCACTCCAAATAGAACAAATTATTTAATTAACTCACTTAATTGCCTTTATTTTTAATAACAAAATAGCCAATTTAAAAAATTATATAGATGTTTAAATTGCAGCCATTTTTAGTCATCTTTTCTTGATGTCAGTTTTTAGCAGTATAGAGCTACTTCAAAAAGATAGTAGTGCTTATTGTCTCATATTTTTGATTTCTAATATGCTCTGAATTATTCAATGTTCTTTATCAAAAGAAAAAGTAAATGAAATAAGTAAGTGAAAAAGTAGGTGTAAAGTTACTTAAATAACAAGATAATTAATTCTCTCTTTCTTTGGACTTGAGTTCATTTTTCTCTGTGTAATAAAAGAAATAATATTTCAACATTAGTTGAGAAATGATTTAGAAAATAATTGCTTTTATCCCTGGGCACTGGAGCACAAGAATGCTAGAATGGAGAGTGAAACATTTGTTTTTCATTTATGTGCAGCACTACCTCCATAGGGAGCATATGACATTTATCAGAAGAATAGCATTATTCATATATTTCCAGTTCTTTCCATTCTGGGACTCTAGCACATACTATTTTGATATATGTTCTACTGCATAGATGTGTTTTACTACCTATACATCTGTGTAAGAAATCAAGTCTTCTAGTGGAATAAGTGGTGTTGCTCATAAGAAACTTAATTGAATAGTACTTCTATGTTTTTCACTAAACCCTAGCACATATCCAACACAGTGAGTTCCAGTAAATTCAGCCCAATTTTCACTAAAATCAAAAATAAATTTTATCTGCTTAAATCCAAATTCATATGTTGTTAAAATGTTTTTTTTTAATTCACTTAAAATTACTTTTCCACAAGTAGTGGCAACATTACATCATAACAAATGATTTACAATGACCTCAAATATCTTAAAATGAAATTATTTTTAATTCAAAGGTAAAGAAATAGTAAAAGTCCCAAAGAGAAGTACATGCTGATTTATTTAGCATGTGATACTGTATTCTGTTCTATTACTTTCAATTAGGGAGAAAACAAAGCTGTAAACGTAGAAATTAAACAGCCATTTCTAAACCAGAGTCAAAATTTCCAATCTTATGCAGCAGTTCTATTTCCCTTGCCTATACTTGTATTTATTTTACCTTTTTAATTCTATGCTGTCTCATCCCTTTCTTTGAGCATCTTTGGGTAAAAGATAAAAGCATAGGAAGCAGAAGATTGGAAAACTGAATCCGACCCCCAGCCAGCAGGATGACTTCTGTGAAATGCAGATGTTAAGACCCAGCTAATGACTGATAATGATGAATCACTGAATAGACTGTCCTTATGTTGACCATTCATTTTCCAATTTAATGCTTTGTTTACTTTGCTAATGATTAAAGACCTTACTTGAGTGAGGTCTTGAAAACAATTCAGAATTATTTTAAATGTGGATAAGTGCTACTTACTCTGAAGATCTCTTATTTCTTGACATGTGAAATGTCACATTTCTTCAACCAGCAGAATGTTTTTCCTTATGATTTTATGTATATGAATGTGCTTTACCAGTTTATACTAACCTTGAAAAATTTTCTTTTTCCCATTTCAAGTTCCACCCAATCTGACTGTTCCACAGGAAAAATCACCTTTGGTCACCAGAGAAGGAGACACAATAGAACTGCAGTGTCAAGTAACTGGAAAACCTAAGCCCATCATTCTTTGGTCAAGAGCGGATAAAGAAGTCGCTATGCCTGATGGGTCAATGCAAATGGAGAGTTATGATGGAACACTGAGGATTGTGAACGTAACTAGGGAAATGTCAGGAATGTACAGATGTCAGACGAGCCAGTACAATGGATTTAATGTGAAGCCAAGGGAGGCCTTGGTGCAACTCATCGTGCAGTGTAAGTAATTTCTTTTTCTTTGTGTATCTGTGGGTGACACTGGAAGACAATCATTTACTAGTGATATGAGTTGGTTTTTAAAGTGGTTTATGGTAAAATGATTCTAGATTATTGCTACTTAATGTAATCTATAATTTCCCTGGAATATACTTATTGCTTCAGTTAATACACATTAATAGAAAGTGTTGCATGTGTGTGTGTGTGTGTGTGTGTGTGTACGTGATGATATTAATGGTCTTATGTGGTTGATTCTGACCAAAGAATCAACAAACATAATGGTTAAAACTGGTCATGTGCATTGAAGCAAAATAGCGACTGGAAGTAATTGCTGTTTCAGATTATAATACTTTCTTGTTTTAATGATTTTTATTAAAATTATTTACAGTTCTAATGAAAACATTATAGAAATTCTACACTTTGTATTTGTTCTTACTATTGAATATATCTAAATTCACAAATTTAAGAAGTTTAATCATGTCAGTGATGTTGGGTTACTGAAGTCTGGTTTACCTCAGACTTAAATACCCTGGTAACTTGGATGAGAGGTGTTTGCGATATTGTTGAAAGAACCTAACTAGCTGCTATCTGTTCAAATTCCTATAGTGCTGCAGGAATTTGATTGATGTAATGTACTTGGTGGAAAAGTCCTCAAGGAAATTAATCAATTAGATGAAGCACTTAAATAAATAAGAAATAATATAAGAGGTCTGTATTTATATTAAAGATGTTGGTAGATTGAATTAATGCCTAGTTTTAAAAGAATAAGTAATTGAAGTCAACAATTGTATTTATTTCTGAGGTATGAGATTAAGAGTTGGAAGTAAGGACAGCTAGGTTCTGTGGGCTGCTGAACCCATGTTCTTATATTACAAAAATAGATTCAGTATGCTATTTGTCCAATGAATATACAAACTAGTATTTGTCAATACCTTGACTGATTTCCATTTGATTGTTATTTGTTTTTTCCTGAATAATGCAGAGTTTAAGTGACTGAGTTTAGTATTGTGTTTTCCTCCCTGTCTTTATCCTCATGACATTAAGTTAATGTGTACGTAGTTATATGAAAACAGGTCTCAGATAGAAAGTAAATATAAAAAGAGAAACATATCCTCAATTCTCAAATAAATAAATAAATAAATAAGAGACACCCTCAAGTGACTACAGAGGAAGCTGATACAGTTTAGACTCTTCATTCTTGTTTGCAATCACAGAATACCGTGCTTCTTCTGGAGTTACCCACAAAGCTTCAGTGTTCCTAGAGCTGCCAGGGCAATTAGTTTTCACTCTATTCACACTTCTCTCTGGGAAGCTCTGATACAAATAAAACTGTGTTACTCAGTAGCTCTAGGGAATCCTGAAATAAAGCTTCAGGAATCAGCATCTTCAGTCTTCACAGAATAAACTAAGTTCAGCAGAATTCTCTTGGTAAGATACATTTCTTTTCTTTTGCTTCTTTGAAGTTAAGTTCTGTACAGGATTTTAAAATTAATTTCTGTAATGATGTATAAAGATAAATATGGCACAGTTGTTTCCAATGTGACAAGAAAGCCATCTTGTAAAAGGCACCAGTATACATAGCACATAGGCAAAGTTAATCATTTAATGTAGGTAAACCTATCTGCATCCCAAGGTGACTTTGCAGAACATATGGTGTCATTTAAATGCACTTGCTTTCAGGTTAGCTTCCCGGGTTCACCCAGGATGAGAGCTGGTACCAGCATTATTTCATTCCAGATGAGGATGCTATCATATCTTACAAGAAGCTCTCTTTTGTGTATTTCCAGCTCTTTTGAAGAATTTGGTTATGTGTCTGATTGTTTGCTGAGTACAAATAACTGATAACATCATCAAAATATACCTAAGTGAATCAAACCTGGATTTTTAAGGCACATAATACCCCTAACAGGTTCAGCCTATGTGTTTACTTCAGACTTACCCCTGCAAATCTGATAAGGCAGAGCTTATGATTTTTTATAATAATAATTTGTATACACACACATCTATACACACACAAACATATATATATATAACATATATGGAATATAAGTACTATATTATTTCATATAGACATGTACATATACATAAATACATATGCACATGTGTTTATATCAGCCTCAGCAATTAGTTATCTCACTGTAGCTAACAAGCTCTATTTCCTGTATTTTATATTTTATAATCTATTTTAATATATTTTACATTATCTATTCAGTAAATGTGTTGAGTAAATATAAGTTATGGTAACAAATGGAATAAATACATAAAGCTCTCTACTTGTATCACTAGTTTTTATTATTTAATTTTCAGGGATATCTGAGGACTTGTATGCAGTTTGAGAGCTGAAAGAGCACAAGGGTATAAAAGGAGATGTTAAATTACTCTAACTTATAAGTCCTTATAAAATTTTATTTTTTAATTTATTAAGATCCTCCTAGAAATGTTTATTGCATCAGCACATTCTAGGACAATCTACTTTATAAGCATCCATGCATGTGCACACACCTACAACTACTCATATATACATACATACTTAAATGTAATTTTATCTATTTTAAAATATAAAAGAACAGAAATCAGTCATAATGAATTTTAAAAGGTCCCATACGTCTGAAGTGTTTATTCTTGTTTAGTTTTGAATTACAGGAGCAGAGAAGCAAGTGTAAGTTGGACTTTGATAAGTACAGATTGCAAGAGTCTAAATATAAAGGGCCTATTTATGTGTGTGTGTGTATAAACATACATACATGGATATATGTGTGTGTGTCCTTTACATAAATAATGGAACTACCCATTTAATTTAAAGTTCTAAATCTCTAAATAATATTTATTCTCAGCCAATGTTATGTTACAATTATAAAGCAACCACTTTATTAAAACCCAGTGAGTTATTACTCTAGTTAATTCATCTCTTCTTTAAACGTGTAGTGATTTGTAAAATAATAGAAGCCTATACTACAGGTTTTTTATACAACTCTACTTCCTGTTTGCAGTAACATAATATTCATAATAGTTAAAATTTTATGCACATTGCACATTTCAGAAAAGCACAGGATTTATTCTTCAATATTTCTACCTTCTACAGCTTCCAATGATCACAGATGCTATGAAGAATAGGAAATTGCAAGCATAATTACAGGATTTTGAAAAATATGCTTAAAATTAATCAAAAAATTTAAAAAGTTGCCAGATAAAATTGTGAAATGCATTTTAAAATGTTGATAAAATACTTTTATATTTCCAGCCATTACTTAATTTAATTAACTTGACTTGAGACTGTAAAATTTCTTTTGTTAATTTTCTAATTCATTTTCATTCTAGAAGTACTAAAATATTATAATTGAAAAAAGTAACAAATGCATTCATAGCATTTAAAAATCATAGCATTTATAAAGCTTATTGAAAAAATTAGAGCAATTTCCTAAACAAAATTTCAGTAAAAAAAAAAAATTATTTCTTCATTAGAAAGAAAGTTGAATCTTAATTAAATAAAAATACCTTTTCATAAATATATATTCGACTGTGTTTATTCAATGAAGATAAAATTATTAATTTTATCAGAGAATTAATAATTATATTTATACTATGACTTTAATTTCACAAACAATAACATTTTATTTTTAATAAAATATCTGTCCCATAAATGTTTCTTCTCAAAGTTTTGTGGTGTTATGGTGCACTGAGGGGGTACTCCTAGATCCCCAAATTTGCCCCTCTCAATGGGTTCTGCTATCTGCAGTTTCCTATTCTTCATATCATCTGTGATCACTGGAAGCTATAGAAGTTAGAAATACTGTAAAATAAATCCTCTGCTTTTCCAGAATGAGCAATTGCACAAGATTTTATGACATTGCTCTCAGTGTGAAAGAATTTTAGTAAAAGGTATGTATACAGAAGACAGAGAAGAAAGGATAATAGTTTTCCAATAACACCCAACATTACCTATCCTCTTGAGGGTAAAAGTTCAGCTAAGTAGGGTTGGTCCAAAGCAGGGCCCTCAAGCCCCAAATGCTTGCCACAAGTTTAAGGTGCCATCTGGATGGGAACCATAGGAAAGATGACAGAGGGGCCAGGTGAGTCTGACGTAAAAAGAACAAAATCAAAGTACAAATGAAGGTAAAGACGGTCATTGTCAGCCTCCCTACTTGTCTCTCACACACATCTCTTCCCAGTGTCTCTTCATGCCTCTGCTCCACGTATCTTCACCCATGTTCCCCAAGTCCCTGGTGCAGGTCTAAAGCCGGGAAGCAATTGTACTTCTTCACGTCTCTGTTCCATATGTCTCCTAAATGTTCCCTTCTCCATTTTGAACAAAAACATTAGGTGATGTACATTCTTCAAATCATTTGAATATTGCCCACAAAAATGCTCTTGTAATACTGCTCGTAGAATTAGTGTGAGTTATACAAAGAATTATTTCTAATGACTGTATAGTTTCCACACAACCTCTTATCATCAAATTGAGATTTTCTTCTTTCACCAAAATGAACTGATCTGAGAGACATTGGTTTACTCCTATAAAATAAATTCACTCTTAAAAGTCATATCTGGAGCCCTCCCTGGTGGCGCAGCGGGTTAAAGCACAGCACCAAGAAGCTAAAGCCACTTCCCCATGAGTTCGATTCCCGCCTGCCCCGGACCACATGGCGCGGCAGACCTCTCCGGACCCGTCCACTGCTCCCCTC